CCAGCCAGCGCACGGCAATCAGCAGCACCGAGGCGCCCAGCAGCTCCCAGGCCAGCGCCGTCCACTCGGCCGACGCCACACGCGGCCACAGCATCGCCGTCGCCGAGGAGCCGCGTTAGTTCTGGCCTGCCCGCTCTCGGCTTAGCAGAGGTCCTTCAGGCAGGGAGCGGACAGCCCGGTCGGGGTCCTCCAGGCAGCACGCGGGCAGCCCCGGTTTCGGGGCGGGGCTCCCTAGGCAGGCGGGGCGGAGTCTCGGACGGGGGCGGATCCCTGCGGGGCGCAGTCCCGGCGGGCAGGGACTGAATCCAGGTTGGGCGGGGCGCCGTGGGCAGGCAGAGCGGCGGTGGGCATGGGGCCGGGGCCCGGCAGGGTCACGGGCCGCCGTTGTGCGTGGATAGGGCGCTCCTGCGTTGGGCTTGCGCTGGCCGCTTCCCGGACTTGTCGGAGTCCGCGACGGCTTCACTCTAGGCCAGGGGCCTTCCCCCTGCGTGCCAGTGGCCGCCAGGGGCAGCGCCTGGAGGGCGTGAGGACAGCCTGGGCCCATTCGCTAGGTTGTCACTGACGGATAGAGGCAACACCAGGGTTTCACCTATAGGAACGAGGGGATGGTTGGAGGTGGAGCCCCTCTGAAGCTTCCTGCCCTCCTGTGTAGCTAAATGGGCAGTGTCTCATTTGAATTGTAAACTCCGCAAGTGGGTCCCACCCAGGGAACAGAAACTGGCTACCTCATTCAGCTTTGTGCTGAGAGCGAGAGCTGGAGTCTCCTGCCGTGCCCTCTCCCCTCATTTCCCTTTGTGTGCCTGGGTGTCAGTTGGGGCAGCCATGCAGGAAACTTGTGAGCCCCTCCAGGAAGGGTTGCCCTGCAGGGGGGTGAGGGGGGACTTGGCTCCCTGATCATGGACAGCATGCCTCCAGATTAGTCCAGTGGAAACTGAACTGTTCCCTGCAGAAGTTCTTGGATAAAGGGCGGTCATACACCTGGTTTAAAGACACGCCCTCTCCAAGAAGCCACCATTTCTGTATCAAATGAGCAGAGAATGAGGCTAGATCCAGGTCTTTTGCTTGTCTTTGAAGTCCCTTATGTAGGCTTCTCTGGTCAATGGGATCCATTTGCTGAGTGGGCCCAGTACACCATCTGAGCACATGGACCCCCAATCCACCACCCCAATACAGGAGAAATAGGGACTCCCCAGAGATGACGATCACTAGAGATGCTTGCAGAGTGGCTGGCATGGGTATGTCTGGGCAGGCCAGAAGTTTGATTGAGAAAGTGGTATCCCTGTTTCTTGCTCCCCATAGAGTCCATGGTGGGCTGGATGGACCTGCACAGCCAAAGACCATCCCCAGCTCTTGTAGGAGGGGCTAGCACAGCTGGAATGGTCCATGCTGCAGCAGGTGTCTTCCTGGTCTCTGAACAGCTCTGGGTACAATGCCCTGATGGCCCCAACACCGAGCTTTGTTTGAATGTGGAGCCAGATCAAGGGGCAGAGTGAGGAGTGAAGGCAGGTGCTGTCAGGTCTGGTTTGGAGGAGCTGGTGCATCTCAGAACCAGCCACCCCCAAACCTCAACCTGAGACCAGGCTCATTTCTTGTTCCTCCTCCATGTGCAATATTTGTGCCCACCCGGGTGTGCTGTGTAAACCCCACTATGCAAGCACTTCCTGCTGGATGTTGGGCTGACTTGGGCCAAGTATGATGAGCAGCACCCTCACTATGAGACTTTGGGGTCCTGGGCAAGTAGTGCACCTCCACTGGTTTGGGCTGGAAGCAGTGGAGCTTCCTGGTGGGCTAGCATACGTGGGAAGGGGCGGAACCCACAGTGGGGAGCTCTCACCTCCCTGGGGCCCCAAGACCCTGAAAGAAGAGAGAAGCAAGCTGGAGAGGGTGCTGAGCCAGCTCTGAGGGCTTGGAAGTCACGTTTTGGGGTAGCCTGAAACCCATGGCCAGTGTGGTGGGGTCTCTGCTGTCTAACATTGGGGCCTGTAGTGTCCTGACCACATCCATTGCAGAGGTTTAAAGACCATTTAGCACAGCAGTCCTCCCCCAGCTCCAGGTGAGAGTGGATGATGCCCTAGGCAGTGCTGCCTCCACCCAGTGGGATGCTGGGCTTGGTGGTGGTGGAGGCACCTCTGCAGAGGAGTGAAGACCACACCCCACCTGCAGCACAGTGTACCCCCTGGTTCCCAGCACAAGTGAGGCTCAGTAATTCTTGCTGAGCCTGCAGGGATATTCCTTTTTAAATCAGTATTTGAACAGTTTGTATCAAGATGAGTTCCTCCCAAGTATTAAAATGGAGTCCCCCAAGAAAAATGAACATTTTTACCAAAAATAGTTTATTGCACAAAATTTAAGGACTTCCCAAGCACGCTTAAATTTATAAAAACCAACATGCTTTTTCAGTTACAATTCATTGTCACTGTGACCTTGTACTGAACAGCCTGGCGAAGGCCCCTCTGCAAAGGTGGTGCTCATAGAAATGAGCAGCTCCAAACCACAGGGCTCTACAGGCTCCATGGCCACCCTCCTGGCCCCCCAGACCCCAAACTCCCTCTCGGGTCAGCAGTCCAGCCCACAGGTACCCAGCACACACTCTGCGCTCGGGCTATTGGCAGGGCTGGGATGTTCCATGAAACCTCTCTCACACATATGACTCAACAGACATCTTTATCTTCATACATGTGCTTCCAAGTGATGGCAGACCTCAGGTGAAGCCCAAGGCTGGAGCAGTACCCAACTGCCAGGAGGCTTGGCAGGTGCCAGTTCCCATCTGGCCCAGAGCCTTGCTAGCACCTTCCCGAGACAAAGGTGCAGTCAGTAAGGTCCAAGGTGTGGGTGAGCTGTGCACCCTGTGAAAGCCCACAATGGCCACTGTGCAGTTTCTGAAGGAAAATAAGCCGGGCACTCCAAGGCCTGGCCCGCACTGCACTAGGGCCTCCCCTATCACCATCACCACCACGCCCACCCAGGCACACTCCATCTATAGCGCAACCCCGGGGCCTGCACATCCCAGGCAACTCCTCTGACTGCCTTCTGCCTAAGAGAATGATGCCTGAAGTGTGGCTTAGCAACTGTCTGCTCTGGGCAGCAGATATGCCAGTGCAGGCCTGGCAACTTGTGCAGGTACAGACAGGAGGCCCGGCTGGAGCATGCAGGCTGCAGACCTGGACACCAGGCACACAGCAGCCAGGGTGCAGGCAGAGTGCGCAGAGCCTGGTGATGGTGGGAAGGCGCACGCACACACACACACACACACATTAGACATGCGTGCCCACATGTGCACACAGTACAGCACACATGTGCACACCACACTGAGATACATGTGCACATTCCCCATGGCAGTACACCTCCAGAAGCGTGCATCCAGACCAGCCCAGAGGTGCACAGGTGTACACACACACCACAGGACACTTGAGGGACCAAGCAAGCACCCCCCCTTTCCCTCCTTGAGCCAAACAGTGGACACAGTCCTGAGGCCTGATAAACAAGGAGCAGGAGCTGCCCAAATAGACAAGGATGTGGGTTCCCATTCTCTAATGGTATAAAAACGGTTTTGTCAAAAACAATTTCCAAACTAAGCAAGAAACAGGATGATTACACGAAGTGTTCAAGGGTCAGTACCAGGAAGCTTGCAGGAAAGCTGGGCACACTTGAGTGCTGACACCTTCAGGGAGTCCAGGAGTAACATTTTTGTGCGAGTAACACCCTGGACTGTGGCTTCCAGTTGCTTAGCAAGAACAGCACAAACAGCTCCATGCCTGTCTTATCCCCACGAGGTGGGCTCGGCATGTCTTCTCCCCAGCCACACCCACCCACCTCTAGGCCAGACTGCCTGGAGGACTCCACAGCCACCAGTTCCTAGCAGGAGTCACAGCTCAGACTTTCTCAGCACCTGGGAAGATGCATCTCTCAGCCTGCCACTCTGGTCCTCAAGGAGACCTCAGGCCAGAATGTCCCTTTGTGGCCACCAGGGCCCCAGGGAACACTTGACTTGGCAGAAAGGGGGCTGGAGCCCAAGGGAGTTATAACCACCCCCCCCTCTCCCCAACCCACCACTGCCAGGCCCCATTTATTGGAGACTGTGGCATCTGTGTGGCCCAGGCTGTGGCCACTGGAATGCGAGGCATCCCATACTCACAAGGAAATACCGCAAACATGAAGGGGAATGAGGACCACAAAGATGCTCATGTCTAAGAATATTTGGTTTAGAAGGTAATAAAATAATCATCTCTCTCAGAACAGCCCTAAAGGCCACCTGACTTCACATCCTGGCAGCAGACGTTCAAAAGGCAACGGACAGATGCTGCCAGCTATTCCTGAAAGCACACAGCAGTTAGGCTGGGTTTTTAGTGTTTATGTATAGTCTACAGGTGACGGCTATTTAAAAAATAAAACAATAAAAACCGTATGTGTGAATAAAGTCTCATTTCTGTGGGAAATAAAGCTGTTACAGAACCAAAGAGGAAAGCGAGGCCCCACAGGTGGCTCCCATGCTATCAGCTGCCGCCGCTGCTGAACCACCACTGCCAAGTAGGCCCAGGTCCCATTTGAACCCTGGCTGGGCTAACAAGGATGCTGGCTGTGACCAGGCAGCCATGGTTTCTCTAACTCTTGGCTCTCAACCTGACAGTTCACTCCCTGTAAAGGCAAATGCAAAACTTAAATTTCACCTCTTAGAAAAACATAGAGCATGTACTCCAATAAATAAGTGACAAAAGAATATTCCTTTGGGTGCATATAAACACACGGTAGCCACAGGTCACTGCGGCCAGGCGGGCTCCGGAGGCCCTGCCCGGCTGTGCTTCTCTGTGTCTCCTCCAGGGTGGGCGTGCTCTTCCCGGGAGGGAGGGCTGGTGGTAGAGTCGGCCCCAGGCCATGAGGATAGGGACTCATGCACAGTCACCGTGTGGGCCTCCATCTGGCGCTGCAGGCTGTGCATCTCTTGCCTAGGGGGAAGGAGGTGGGTCACAGTGCTGCTTCTGGGGAGCCCCTAGCACCCAGAGTCAGGCCTGGCCCCCAGCATCGCTCAGCTTCAAGGACCAAGATGGCCGCTCCACTTTAGTCACTCTATAACCACCCCAGGCCTCCCAGTCCTGTAACCTTCCCTGTGCCATGACACGGACTTTGGTCAGGACGGAAGAGGCTGCCCACTTACTGCGTCCCTGTAGAAGCCCCAACATCCACCTCCCTACCCAGCCTGACAGGCACCAACATCCAGCTCTGAAGCTTCTTGGAGTTCAGATTCCAAGCACCTACGGGTGCTTCAGGGTCAGTCAGCACTGAACACTCTACCTCAACTACAGACACAGGACAAATGGCCTTTGGCTTTATGGGCACCCAGGCCACAGCTTCCCCTGTCAAATGTGTGAATCCCCATGAACCTGGCAGAGCAGACACATACTTCAGCTGCTGGAGACAGCTGTTGAGGTTCTTGAGGGGCTCCTTGCTCACAGCAGGGGGGGGCTTCAGCAACTCCTCCAGCAGGGAGGCTGGGACAGGGCAGTCAGGGATCTTCACTGGTGTCACGGGGCTGGAAGAGTTGGCCTCACCTTTCAGTTCCTTCCTCTGTTTTGAAAGCATGTGATCAGCTGTCGCCCAAGAGACCCGCCCCCCGCCTCAGTATTCATGTGGCCCCCACCCCCTACCCTGCCTGTGCCAGGCCAGGCAAGCCATGGGGCCCAGGGCTCAATGTGTCAACCTCTTTCTCATACAGCACAGTGAACAATGCACGTCCTGGCTACGGACATATGAGATCCCAGGGCCCCGAGGGCACCTCAGTGGGACCTCCCTGGCTCTGGCACTTCCCCCTGCAAACCCTGTGCCAGGCCCCTGGCAGGTGCAGGGAGCTAGCTGAGCAGCTTCTGTGCACTTGGGAGATATGTGCCAGCCCACACCAAAAACAGCGCTGCTGGCAGATACCAAGTGGAGCTCCAGCGGTCTGGCCAGGCTCCTGCCTCCAGTGGTTCACACAGTATTGCAACCAAGTGGTCCTTGAGTTCATGGAAAGATGTGAATATTCTAAAGGCATCAAGCTGAAGTGACCTGGCTAGCCCTGTAGAGAGCTCCACCACCGCCTATGCCCACACAGGATAGTCGGGCAGAGCTCAGATCTGAGTGACCAGGAACCTGCCACTGGCCAGCACTAACATGTCCACAGTGGACACAGGGTATGTGAAGGCCAGTGGGCTGGGGGACCCATGGGCTGGGTGGTACCGTCTTTGTGCTACGGCGCAGGCCCCGCTGGAGCTGCTGGTTCTGCTGCAGCAGGGTCTTCATGCTGCTCTTCAGCTCTGACACCTTCGCCTGGAGCGCCAGCTTGTCCTTCTGTGTCACTGAGAGATCTTCCTGTGCTGTCTCCAGCTCAGACCTGACATCCTAAGGAGAGTCATAGATTTCTAAAAGCTAAAGGATCTTAAATGCACTGTGAAGCTCCCAGTTTACACATGCTGGGTCTCAGGGGCTCCGTGAGACCAAGCTTGTGTCTGATGAGGGACCTGAGGCCCAGCCAGGCCCCTGCTCCCAGAGACACCCATGTACCCAACACCATGTACATTTCAGAGCTGCTGCCAAGGAGCCAGCAGCAGCTCACATGGCCAGGGGTCACATGGAGAAGCCCCGTGCTTGACACCCCAAGAGGCCCCTGTCACTTGTCCCCCACCCCTTCCTAGGAGGGGCCTCTGACCCTCTGCCCGCCAACCCAAGCCAGAAGCTCTCTGGGCCAGAAGCTCATCTCAGACCAGTCAGCCCTACACTGCCTCATTACAGGGGCACAGCACAGAGCAACTCACTTAGAGCAGCTGGCCCTGCTTCTTACAGGACACTTGGCTCAGATGAGCCCTCACCTGCCCCTTGCCCATGGGGGATGGCGCCCACCTCTGGCCCAGGCCCTGGTGGTACCTGAAGTAGCTGCTGCAGACTGCCCAGCTCCTGGGCAGCATGCTGCTCGCTCAGGCCCAGCTGCTGCTTCAGGGACTGAACCTCTCTCTCCTTCTGCTCCACCTCCCACTTGAGATTTTCCATCTAGAAACAGGAAAGTCACAAGGTAAGAGAATCTTAAGGTGATCTCCCTGCCCTTCCACCAACATCACATAGCTACATGGGGCTCAGCGTCACTCAGGATAGAAACGTCCTTTCGGAAGTGGAGGGGGCTGGGGCTGAGTGTGTCTGCAGCAACTGGCCCTGACCCCAAACCAGGCAGGTCTGCATCACCTCTTGGTCTCCAGTGGGCTGCTTGCTTAGTTGCTCATCCAGCTGCTGCTGCAGGAGCAGGAGCTGGGCCCGGGCCTCTGCCAGCTCTTCCCGGAACTGCACTGCCTCCTGGGAGTGCTGCCCCTCCTGGATCCTAGCAGGGAAAAGAGAGTGTGAGACTTGCCCTTGCCAGTCTACCATGTGCCAGGTGACTACTCTCTGTTCTGGGTAGACTGGCATGACCACCCCCACGGGGGCTTGCCCCAGGGGAGGGCTGCTCCCATGCCTTGCCAGGCCCAGTTTCCACTGGTACTGCAAAGCCTCCAAAAACAACAGGCTGTCTGCTACTGCTGAAGGGTAGGTGTGGGCCCAGTGATGGGTCCTTCCAGGCCGCCTAACGGAAGCCCACAGCTAAACCTGATGCCTACCCTGTGGCTGCTCCCTTCACTGCAGGGCATGGGGTTGGAGGCCCAACTCAGGCTTCTTGCTTTCCTTGTTCTGTTTGCTTCAAAGGGCTCAGGATCAGCTAAACCGTGCATGACTTTGATGTGCAGATAAGGTCAAGGAGGGAAGAGTCCTCCCGCAAATACAGTCTACCTCCAGCCCTGGAGCCCCTAGCTCCCCATGCCTTGGAGCCCTTCAGCCCCACCCTGACGCACTGGAGCTCCTCGACTGCCTCCTGCAACTTCTGCACCAGGTGCTCCTTGGCCTGTAGCTCCTTCTTCACCTCGCTCAGCTCCAGGGAGGCAGCTTTGAAGTGACGACGGTTATGTCCAGCTTCCATCTTGGCAGCAGCCACCTACAGGACAGATGGCAAATTCACTGGAGGAAGGCAGGAGGTGGGAGGGCTTGGAGAGGCAGGCTGAAGGGAGTGGCCAGCACCCCCATGGGCAGTCCCAGAGGCCCCAGCAACATGCAGTCAATGGTGTCTGTTTTGTGGATGCCACCTCCAGATTTCCTGCATAGTTTAAACAGCTTTCAGTTTCCCTTGTGAACAGACCCATGGTTCCGTCCTGTTCACCCCTGGCTGGTGTGTTCTGGCACACAACCAGCATCTGGGTCAAGATTGTCCCACAGGGATGGAACGTTAACAGACAGATGCTGCCACACACCTGTTCCTTGAGGTTGTTTGCATTCAGCTTCTCTCTCTCCAAGGAGGCTTGCAAGGTGTCTATGAGCTGTTGTATCTGCTGATCCTCCTCCTCCTTGCGCTGCAGAATCGCCTGCACCTGCACAGAGGCGGATGTCACCCAGGTCCTGGACCCAATGCCCGTGATGGGGGCAAGGCTGCAGCCAGGGTAGCAGAGGAAACTGAACAAGACATGTCTGTAACCCCACGGGCTAGATGACAGAGGCAGGGGCTGTAGAGTCCAAGGGGCTGAGAAGTGTCCAGAGGTGCTCCCTCAGCTCTGGGCGCGGCCAGGCCCTCACTCACTGCTCCTGCCCTGGCTGGGAAGTGGTCCTCCTGCAGTGGCAGTGGCTGGCCCCTACCCACGCAAGGAAGCTTATAGGAAGTTATGCAGAGGTCCTGCCCCTAGCCTTGTTGCATCACTGCAGGGCTGGGAGAGGAGGATAGGGGTTTACCAGATTCACCAAGCCTCTGTGCCCAGGCTGAGATGGGCCCTGACATGTTTCTTGTGAGAGCAAACCTCATCCCCACAAGTGGGCTGGGTACCTGGAGGTTCAGCTGCACCAGATTAGCCTCCCTCTTGGCCAGTGCCGTCTCCAAGATGCTATTGTGCTCCCGCAGAGCTGCGTTGGACTGGCCCAGGCCTGTCAGCTTCCCTCGCTCGTGCTCCAACTCCAGAGCCAACTTGTTATTTGACTCCTCGAGGCGTTTTATCTTCCTCCTGAAGCCTCGAGATTCCTGGAGCTGAAACAAATCAGGGTCAGTTGTATAAACCATGTTGGCATCCATGGAGTGACATGAACCACAGAAACATGGCAGCAAAATGTGGTCCGCTGCTCTTGGCAATGGCCAGCAACTGAAGTGGCCCAGCCACCATGAGAAACACAGACAAGTAGGCAGCCCCTGCCCTGGCAGTCTTGACCACTGCCCAGTGCCACCATTGTGCTCTGGGCCTAAATTACAATACCTTCTCTTACAGGGTGGGTCTCTTGAGCTGGTTGGCCCTTCTAGGTGACCACAGTAGACAAACCAAGACCCCAGTGTGGCACAAACATGGGCCCTGCTGGAGGCTGTCACTTTGTGGACACTTGTAGGCCAGTAGTGCTGGGACACACAGCAGCCTGGGACAAGGACTGCTGTCTACTGCAGCAGGGCCAGGCTCCTACCTCGTCTTCCAGCTCTAGCACCTTCTCCCGGTGTTCCTCCAGCTCCTGGCTGGTCAGTGTGATGACCTCCTGCAGCTCCTTCTCCAGCATCAGCTTGCTGCGGCTGACTGTCTGCAGCTCCTCCTCCAGTGCCCGGACCCTCTCCTGCGGCCCAATGTGAGTGGGTCACTAGCTGTACAAGTGCTGGTCACCTCCTACCACCTCCTGGCTACTCCTCAGGCAGGCCTCTTCCTCCCATGGACACCTGCCCCACTTGGCTCACCATAAAGAGATGCTGGCCCCCGGAAAGGATCCCCAGGTTGGGGTCACAGAACTGCCGGCAGCCTGGCCTCCCTGGATGATGCCCCTGCTTGCATGAGGCTGCCAGTCTCTGGTCTATCACCTGAGCCTCAATAGGATGGCACCAGCCCTGGCTGCCCAAGCCCATAAATGCTCTCAGGATTAGGGCTAGCCATGCATCCTGGGGCAGTCTAGCCTGTGTCAGGTGCACAGGAACCTCCCTCCAATGAGGTGCCCTCCTTCACTGGGGCAGCCAGATCTAGATGCTCCAAACACCCCACCCTCTGTGGCCTGACTCATCTGCTCAGACATTTACTCCCTGGTGCTGACAGGGAGGCGAGGGCTGGGGCAAACCCATGAGTGGACACCTCACCTCCTTCCACCACCAGCTGGGGCTCCCAAAGTGCTTGGTCACCCCACTGCCACATGCTGAGGATGCTGCCCACATGTCCCTGTCCCCTTCTAATTCACTTATGAGGGTTCAGAGGAGACATTAGCTCCAGCAGCAGCACATGAGGACTCACCTGTAGGGCCAGGCTTTGGGCATCACCAGCCACCTGGGCACTCAGCCGGCTCAGCTCGACCTCTGCAGCCTCCTGGGCAGCAAGGGCCTCCTGCAGGCGGCGGCTGAGGATGCCTACTGCGTTCTCGTAGGCCTTGTGTTTGCTCTTTGCCTCCTTCCGGGCACTGCTCAGGTCAGAGCCCAGGCGCTTCACCTTCTGCTTCTGCTCAGTGACGGCCCTGGGTGGAGCAAGGAGGGCTGCAGGGGCAACCAGGGCCAGGAGGCTGTCCACACTAGCCTGGCGCCACCTCCGCAGCCCAAACTCACCCCCCACCCCCAGGTGGGGCTGCCCATGCCCCCAGAAAATAGGGGCCATCTTCTCCACCCAACAGAACCCCTCTGGGGTTACTGAAGAGCAGACGAGAATCATAGGGAGTGCTTCACTGACAAAGCAGAGTCATGTGGGGAGTGTTTGGTGTGAGGACAGGATGGAGGCAGTCTAGCATGCCGCCAGCACACCTGGGCCTGCAGTGCCTCAGCCACCAGGCCCGGCGGACCTGCCACCCGGACCCCTGAGGGCAGACCCCAACCGCCTGGGCACTCACTTCCGGGCCTCCTGCTGTAGCGCCTCAACCTGCTTCTGCAGCGCCTCATTGGCCTTAGAGAGAGCAGCTGCTTGCTCTTTATCAAACTGCAAAGACTTCAGGAAGGAGAGACAAGTGAAGATAGCCGGGCCTGGCCAGAAGTCTCCCTAGCCCCACAGCCTCTCTCCAGTCCCCCCTGCCGTACCCGGGCCTACCCAAACTGGCTCTCATATACAGCCTCCAGTCGCCTTCCACCTGGACTTGTCTGGCCCGCCCCAGGACTTGGGGCTTGCTGGTGTACCTTCTGCCATCTATAGTTTCCCCTGCTCTCATCTGAGAACGTGCTCCTCAACCCAGAAAAACACCCCCACACCTGGCATGACCCTTAGCTCCCACTGAATCTTAAGCCCGGGTTTGACCTGCCGCTGCCTGCTGGTCACCCACGGCCCTCCCTCTCCTGGAGGGTAACTGGTGCCCATCCACTGGAAAGCTCCAGGAGGGTCTGCTCTGGCCTACCCCTCTGAAAGCCTCCCTTGTCCACACCTGCAGCTGCAGCTCCGCCTCATCACGCTCGACCTGTGCTGCCTTCAGGTGCCCTTCGAGCTCTGCCACCTGCTGTCGGGCCTGGGACGCCTCCTTCTGCAGCCGTGAGTGCTCAAGCTCCACCGACTTCTTTTCCCCCTGAAGCTTCAGTAACTCTTGCCTCAGCTCCTTCTGTGCTGAGTCCAGCCTCTTCTTCGTGGCCTTCAGCTCACTGACAAGCTGGTCTTTGGAGGTGGAGTCCCGCCGATAGGCCTCCACCATCACCTGTGGATGAGACACGCTGCAGCCAGCACAGGCACCTCATGGGTCAGCTGGCCCCAAACAAAAGTCCACCCTGATCTGGGGCTGCTAAAGAGCATGTTTCCTCAAATCCAAGACACCACTACCCAAAACACCATCCTCCACCTGCCGATAATTCTGGGTGAGCTGAACACCAGTCGGCCCCAGCCCCAGGCTTATCTTCCAGGCACTTCCTGGATCCTAGGAGGCTTCCCAGGTGCCTTGGGCGGGAAAGCCCAGACCACAGACAAGGTGGCCCGGGCCCCAGGATGTCAGCCTGTTGCAGAAACACACTATGGCCTTGGAGAGCTAGGTAATCAAGGGATTCGCAGCACGGGAGCAATGAGGAGACTCCAGAACCACCAAAGGCCTCCAGGTACCCTCCACCCCCAATCCGAAACTCTGGTGATGTGGTCAGACCACACGGGACTTTCTGAAGTTCTTGTTCATGGAAGAAGCAGAAGTAACATGTCTCTACCTTCTGTTGGAGGAACTGCTCCTTCACCTTCTGCATTTGCTTCTTCAAGGCGGCCGTCTCCTGCTGGAGGTGCTCCACCTGTGGAACAGGTATGCATGACTTTACCTGCTGCCTCAGGCCTGGCTCCTAGGCTCTCAAGGGCCAGAGACCACTACAGGAAGGAAACAATTTCCAGGGAGACAAAGAGGCCAACCCCTTGCCCCACAGTGCTTTTAGAACAATCATCTTTAGCCGCCAGAGATGCTGCTCCAAAAACAGACATAATTCAAACAAGAACACACCACTCACTGTTACCAAAGCAGCTGTCTTCTGACTGTCACGTGACACCCTGTCACCCAGCAAGCAAGCAGTGAGGCCAAACCCAACTTCATCAAGTGTTCGCATGAGCTCTCGATCTACTTCTTGGTTGCCCAACACAGGGAGCAGTTGGGCTTGAAGCAGAACCCACCCATTCTCACATCCTTGTGTCCTGGAGACCTGTCTTGCCCTCCAAGCACCTTCTGGCCATTGCTGTGACAAGCCATACCTGTGGGAAGCAACCCATACCTGCTCCCAGCCAGACCTCAGGCCACCCCGCCACCTTATTGGCCAACACACCAGCAGGCCCACTGGGGAGGGGCTCAAGGTCCAGCAGCTTCCCCAAACCTGAGCTCCACGTCACCAGTGGACAAAAATGTTATTTCTTGGGATCTGACTTTCAAAGGGCCAAAGGTAATTTGGTGTTTGAGTTCCCAGCACCTACACACCTGGCTGCCGCGGCCAGACCCACAGCAGAGCACTGGGGGTTGGGCTCCTTTGCCAGCTGAGTGTTGTGCCCCTACAGTGGTGCTGAAGATGGCCAACATGCCATTCCCCGCATGGATCCCACTCATGACAAACCACAGCAAACTGCCCACCTGGCTGGACTTGACGGCTAGCTCTTGTCTCAACTGTTCCAGAATTTCCGACGTGTCCTCACTGCCTTCTTCCAAGCTCTTGGCTCCTCTGTCAAATTCCTCTCTGCTGCTCTTGGCCGCCTGCAGAGCCACCTCCAGAACGATCTTCTCCTTCTGCAGGAATTGGATGGTATCTTCCCGGGCAGTGGCCTCTGTCTGCAACTCCTCCAGCCTAGCCTGTAGCTTGTCCTGGTGCCCCTGCAGGTCATCCAGGCACTGCTCACGGGTCTGTAACACCTCCTGCGTCGAGGTGAGCTGCTTCAGCAGATCCAGGTGATCCTGTTGCAAGGCCTCAAACTGCTGGTCTCGCTGCTGCAGCGTCAACTTCATCTGCAAGAGGACCCAAGACACAGTTTGACTGCCCTGTGCCATGCCTACACATCCCTAAGAGCTCTGGACAGGAGCATGGGCAGTGCGACCTCCTTCCTGCACAAAGGTCTGCAGAACAGTAGTAGGGATGCTGCCAGGGTCTGCAGTGGTAGCAGTGGGGCCTGGAGATGTGCAGGTGATAGCCCACCCCAGGGCCCTGATCACCTGTTCAAGCTGTTGCTCCAGGGCAGCTGCCGAGGCCGCCATCTTCTGTAGCTGCTCCTTCTCATCTTCAAACTCCTCCAGCCTCCTCTGCAGGTCCTCCTCCACCATTGTCTTTGCTTCTTGAATCTGCACAAAGGCAGCTTCCTGGTCCAACATGTCAGCCTGCACCCAAAAGACAGAATGCTTTCAGAACAGGACACCTGCCACACTGCAGGCTGAGCAGCAAAACCCACCACCCTGGTGACACACGCCCACGTCGCCATCCTGGCCAGCTCATGAAACCTCTGCTGACCTCTGGCTGGCTATGGGGGGGAGGTCAGCAATCACCTTGCCTGGAGAACGGGGCCCCATGGCTTTCTGGGAACATTCTCATGTGGTGTCTCAGTTGGAGGACTTGGTAAAACTAGACGCCAGCACCCTCCCTCGTGGCACAGTGGATTAAAGCACAGCACAATGGAAGCCATCCATGGCCACGGCAGCATGAGTTTGATACCCAGCCAAGAAGTGACTCACATGGCATGGCAGACATCTCCTGAGCCGCCCGCTACTCCCCTCAGCATTGCATTTCAGTAGATCTGCCTGTTCTGCTTCCCTCTCTGTCTCTGGTGAAACTTCTCACCCCTTACACTGGTGGCCTGTACCCCAGCTCTTACGTGTGTTAAGTAAATAAATCTTAAAAAAAAAAAAAAAAAGACAACAGATGGGGGATGTCTGGACTATGCAGCTAAGGCCCAACATCCAGGAGTGTTTTTTTTTTTTTTTAAAGATTTATTTATTCATTCATACAGAACTGGGGTACAGGCCAGAGATGCGAAGGGTGAGAAGATTCACCAGAGACAGAGTGGGAAGCAGAACAGGCAGATCTACGAAGTACACTGCTGAGGGGAGCAGCGGGCGGGTCAGGAGAGGTCTGCCACACCATGTGGATCTCCTCCGGGGCAGGCAGGCAGGGATCGAACTCATGCGGAAGTGGCTTAAGCTTCTCAGTGCTGTGCTTTAACCCGCTGCGCCACCAGGGAGAGCCCCCCAGGAGTGTTTTTTAAGATAAAACGTTAGATCATGGCTTAGTTTTCAGTCTGGGCACCAGGTCCAGCAGGACAGGCTGCAAGTCTCTACCTGGTGCCCGTCACTCCCAAGGGCTAGGGCCTATGGGTGGGCGACTACATTCCCAGCATGGCAACCGCAGACACTGTGTACCTCTTCCCCCTGACTCTCTAACAAGCCTATCATGTCAGTGTTGCGTAAGGCTCAAGGAAGTCAAGAAATTGTACAGTATTCACAAGTAAGAAATGAGAATGGTATGGGGTTCCCATGACCACTATAGTTCCACCACCCTGACACCAACGGTAAGGCAGCTGCCCATCTCCCCCATGTGAGTTGCTGGAGACTGAAAACTTACTGACCCTGGGCTCCGCAAGGTTGCCATGCCGAGGGCCCCCTGCACACAGGTCCCGCCCTGCTCTGACCAGGCCAACCTGGCTGCCAGTCTGGCATTTCAGAGACAACTGGAAGGGAAGTGTGCTGGACATGAGGAAGGCTATTCCCACATTTGCAGCCACTGCAGGTAGTCCAACAGCTCAAAATGCCCACTCACTATGGGACTAGTATGGGCACATTTGGCCTGTTTCCTTAGCCCTGACCAATGTTGGAGGGAAGGACCAAATGCCACCCCTGCAGCAGAGCCCGGCCAACCTCGATGCCCTGGAGCTGTGCTGCAATGCGCTCCTTCTCCTTGATGGACCGGTGCTGGGTTTCCGTCAGCTGGTGGGAAAGGGCCACGTTTTCCAGCTTAAGGTGCTCCAGCAGGCCAGCCTGGGTCATCTGCCCCACCTGCACAGGAGGACAGCACAGGTGAGAAGTAGTGCTTTCTACCCACCCTACACCCTGCCTTGGGCCCTGGGTTTGACAGCCCCGGGCAGACTGCCACTTAGAAGCCAGATGTTACCAACCCAAAACTGTGCAGGCCGTGGCAAGACCATGTACCTCGAAGTGTGTCTATAAGTCTGATGGTGAGGGCCTGATCTGGACTACAGGAGGGTGGGGCTGGGATCTGCCCGTTGGTGGATGGCCTGATCATGACTGGCTGTTCCTGGAGGTAGCCCTGGTTATATAGTCATGCCCTGCTAGCCAACTGCCTCCTTGAGACATGCTAGACCCAGAGGCAGTACGGGAAGAGGGTCAGGGCACAAGTCTATCTGACCCCAGTGCTTTGACCTCTGCCGGATCCCAGGGAGCAGCAAGCTACTGCTCAATCTGCCTCATCCTGTTTTACCTTCCAGATCCCACTTGATGATGCAGGACAGACACACCTGGCTTCTTCAAGAACCCCATGCCTCACACATATGCCCTGAGTTTCAGCCTGCATCTGGGGCTAGCAGCCAGCTTGTGCTGTGGGGAGGAGCACAGCGTCGCCAAGTCCGCGCTCTTGTGGGCCTGCACCACATACACAGGGCCTGGACTTACATGTCTGCAGACTTAAGATTCTTGAAAAGAAGCACTTGGGTGAACTGGTTGTAATCTTAGAATTTCTACTTGAGAAAGTTTCAATTAACCTATGTACTTATTCTACCTAGAAGAAAATGGAGTGGAATAAATGCCTGACAGAACTAAGAGCGACCTGGGCCAACAAGCCCACCGGCACTTTTGTCATCAGCACCACCAGGGTCAGAGGATGCAGTCTGGGAGGGCTGGGGGAGGGGAGAAGGCATCTTCCAATGCCGTGGAAATAAGAACACTCACATGGAGAGCTGGGGTGATGTGGAGAGAGGAAAAGCTCCTACTAAGAAGTTGAGGCCAACTGCTAAACATGGAGCTTCCCTACGACCCAGCAATCCCACTCCTAGGTATCTACCCAAAAGACACAAAAACACTGATTGAAAAAGATACTTGTACCCCCATGTTTATTGCTGCTTTATTTACAATTGGAAAAACATGGAAGCAGCCCAAATGCCCAAAAGTAGATGACTGGATTAGAAAGATGTGGTACATATATACAATGGAATATTACTCAGCAACCAAAAAAGAGAAACACATGTCTTTTGCAGCAACTTGGATGGAGCTGGAAAAGATCATGCTGAGTGAGATAAGCCAGAAAGAGAAAGAAAAATACCGGATGGTTTCACTCATAGCAGGAGTATAATGGACCAGGCGAGAAAATAACAAAAATAATGAACAACCATATACCAGAGACATTCTGTGGGGGTGGAGTGGGGAATGGGATCAAAAACGGGGGTGGGGGGGAGGGAGGGAAATGCATGGGACTATGGTGGTGGCACACGGGTGATTTGGTGATGGGAAACCCGCGGGGATTACAATCGAGATGGAAAAAAATATGTGCAAAATGATGTAAAAATAAACTTTTGTAATAATTAAAAAAATAAAATAAATAAAAGGAATGACAAATTAAAAAAAAAAAAAAAGAAGTTGGGGCCATGGGTAGAGACCTCATTAAAGTGGTAGGAGCAGAGCCAGGGCGTGGGGATTAGGGCTGCAGTACGAGAAGCAAGTACCCTGTGGTCAGAGCAGGGACACTAGAAGCCTGAGACGGGAAGGTGAGCCTCAGAAATACTTGAGCTGTCAAGACTCAGAGAGCAGTCACCCAAGTGGGGGGAAAAAGGGTATTACACAGGAATTAGCAGTTTCTGACAAGTATAGCTGAGATCCTCAAACAGAGGAAAGTCTTTAATTCAGAGTAAAGTAGCCATTCTGCGCAAGATAGACAGTGTCCACCTTCACACGGTCAGCACCACCCTGCCACATGCCCTGACATGCCTACCTGGATGTGGGCCATCTCGCCCTGCAGCCGGACACGGGCCTCCTGAGCCAGAGCCAGCTGCTGCTGGTACCACTGCCGGACACTCTGCAGGGACGAGATCTCGGCCTGTGAGGCCTTTAGCCTGCTGCTCAGGGTACTGCGTTCCAGCTGCACCTGCTGCAGCTGGCTCTGCAGGGCGCTCATCTGCTGCCGCAGGTCCTGCACTGGGGGGAAAGCACAGGCTCAGACCACCGGCCCCTGGAGTGTGCGCGAGGCATCATGCTAGCCAGCAGTGCTCCTCCCTAGGAAGCCATATCTCTGGAAGGCAGGTGGGGGCAGCACAGACTGAACCTGCTGTCCATATCCCTAACCCTGCCCCTGAAGCTGAGCCCTGGTGCATCACCACTTCCATGTTGATGATGGCCTAGAATCCATCTGAATAGTAAAAGCACCCAGGAAGCACAAAAATTAAAGGTGGCATGTCATTAGATAAGCCCAGAGACAGATGGTGGACGCGGGGCAGGTGGCTGGTGGCAGGGCAAGTGGCAGGTGTGGGACAGGTGGCCAGGTGGCAGGCCATCCTCCACCTCGGCCCCAGGAAGGGCCCGGCTATGCTGTGGCGGCTGCAACACTGCAGAGGGACAGTATCGCCCAGGTTAGGCCCACTGGTTTGATGCCATCATCTCCTGACTTTCGGAAATCCATGGGGGAGGGAAGATATAGGAAGTCACAACACAGCTCACGGCATAAACATGACCAGCCAAACGTCTTAAGAGTCAAAATCATACCTAAAAATACCTATCATCCTGAGGACAGTTTCCAAAATGCTGAGACTAAACCGACGAGCATGGTGGTTGCAGGAGGCCAGTGGCCCTGGTCTGAAATCCCAGGCCACACCCACTCTGTTTTCAGAGCCAACAGAAGCAGCACGGTACCACAAGGCCAACCCCAGGCCATGGGCTCCATGCTACTGTCCGGCCAACAGCTGTGGTCAGTTCAGGCCTTGGCTCTTAGACGTCACTTGGGGATAGGAGTCAGGTGGCGCTCCAGGACTTGGAGCACCTACTGGGATGGTCAGTACACTGGCCAAGGTGGAGCTGGAGATGACAGGTCCCCTTTGCCACGGGCATCAAGTCCAAGACCCCACGGCCCCAACACCAGAGATAATGGCCTTGGAGCAGCCCCACCAGCTCTTCCCCATATCCAGGCTGGCCAGGGTCTGAGACCTTCCTCCCTGCCCATCCTTCCTCCTTCGTGGCAGGTAGCTGGCTGTCTTAGTACCCTAGGGACAAAGTACACTGCCAGGATGGGGGACAGCTCAAGAGGGACCTGCTCAGGCTCTGCTGGTGCAGCCACCTATGCTCCGGGCAGGCACCGGCTCTGTGGGCAAGGACCACTGCCCAGGCTCACCTGCATTGTCCTTGCTGCGCAGGCTGCCCTGCATCTCCTCCACCTTGGCTAGCAGCCTTTGGTACTGCTCCTCTGCCACCTGCAGGTCACTGTTCGAGGAGGCCAGGCTGGCGTTCCTGGCTTCCAGCAGGCTCTGTAGGTCGGCCATGGCCCGCTCCAGGTCCCAGCAGGACTGCTTCAGTGTGTCTACCTCGGAGCTCAGGGAGTCCTGCCTCTGCTGGCTGCTCTGGCTCTGCTCCACCTGGGCCTGCAGCCGCATATCCAGGGCAGCCAGCTGCGCTTGCAGCTCGACCTTCTCCTTCAGAGCCTGAAGAGAACCCGAGCAGACACCATGACCATCAGAAAAATGAGTGGCTGAGAGCATGGCTATAGGGCTCGTAAAGCAGACAAGAGCAAGGTGCTGGGCATCTCCCTGGCTTGGTCCCTCTGCTGGCAATACAAGGCAGAATCCCCACACAGGCCCCAGAGGGAGGCAGAGCAGAGCTGTGCCCAAGTCTGGCTGGTGTGGGCCCAAGGGCACCCAAGAAACTCAGAGGGCCAGGGCAGAGGTGCATCCCCTGGCCCTAGAAGCTATTGGGGTGTTAGGAGAACCCCTGATTTCAAAGATGAGCAGATGGTGCCCACCCACATCACTACATTTACTGGGGAAGACCAACACTGTCCAGGCACAGCAGCTGGCAGGGACATCAGAGCAGTGCACCCAGAGCCCAGGCTACAATGCCAGGAGGGAGGTGGGGGGTGGGAGTAGCTGAGGGCCAAAGTACAGCTGAAGGGGTCACTGTCCTGGTATGTCTGTGAGGAGCAAGAAACCACCACAGCTGATGATCATGGGCCCTGCACCCACCTGGCCACACACAGCCCTGGGTGCAGCCTGCGTTGGCCACACAACGCTGGTCATGGCAGGCTTGCTGCCCCCGCATAAACCACGCACATTACATGATAGGTTAAAGCCAACAGAACGGGGTTACTCTGTTGACAGGAAAGCTAGAAGTTAAGGAAGGGAAAGCTTTTTGGGGGGGCAAAATTCCTATCAGAAAAAGCAGAACCCACTGCAAAAACTATCAAAGGACAAAGATGACAAGTCTGCGAGTCAAGGAAAGGTGAACCACATCCAGTCAAGTCACGACTACTGTGTGCTGCCGGGTGTCAAAGGCAGGGGCACAAGGGGATCTGGGTGGGAAGAGGGCCTCCCTCTGGGGCCCAGTGGACACAGCTGCCAGGACAGTGTGGGCCGGGTGCTGCTGCCAATGGTGAAGCTGCCAATGGTGACACTATTCACACTGAGGGAGACTCTAGTCCTGCAATCAGAGCCAATCTTCCTTGAGCACACTTGCCACATGCTGCCAGCGGCCATTACCTGGCTCGCCTCCAGAGACAACGCCTCCAGCTGCCCCTCCAGTCTCCTCTTTTCTTTAAGAACCTGCAACATTTCCTCCTGGGCTTCGGCCACAGAGCTCTCCAGAGATAGGCTGGGGACAAAGGCAGGGCGTCAGGGCTGGGTGTGGGGTGCTGGTTCTTCCATCTCTCCGTGACCCAACAATCCTCACACCCTAGCTACTTCTCTCCAAATCTTTTAAGAAAATAAAAACAAGGGCGCAGCACTATGGATATTGGCAGCCACTGTAGCACTAGGTAGATCCCTGGCTCGGGTGGGGGGTGTTGTGACCCACCTGGCATGGCACACCTCTCCTGTCCCACCATTGCTCCCCTCAAATAGTGTAGGTGATCTGCCTGTTCTGCTCCCCACTCTATTTCTGATGAATGCTCTCACCCCCCCCCATACCTCTGGCCTGTCAATCGTTAAATTAAAAAAGAAGATAAAAACGTTAACCTAGGGCACCTTGCATGCCAGGGGGAGCACGCCCACCATGCACAAGCTGGGGGAGTGCCTGGGCCTTGGACTCAAGGTGCCCTGTGCAGGCAGACAGGCCACCCTAATGCCACAGAGCCTCCCCTGACTGGGTCCCAGAGCCATACACAGGGCATTGCCAGAACCAGGACTGCCCAGGAGCGGGGCAGCCAGCCTCTCCCACCTGCTACAGATGCTATCTGTCCGGCTCCTCGTCTCCCCGTTGATCTCCTGCCCTTGGGCCTGGTGCTCCGCTGCTGCAGCATGCAGCACGTCCGAGATGGAAGGGAACTGGCCCAGTGTCCCCAGGGCTGCTTCCTGGCCACTGGGCACACCGGAGGCCCCATGAGGGCCCACAGTGTCCACTGGGCGGCTGGGCAGCCCACGGGCAGAGACACTGCCATGGGAGGAGTTGTCACTCTCGTTACCGTCCCCAGCTTCAGATGCATCATCTCTCCCCAGGGAGGCGCTCTCTGGGTGGTCCTCAGCCTTGGGACACGGGCTGATCTCCGACACCACGGATGTGGCACTACTGCGGTTCTGCCGCAGGGAGCCCCTTGCCACGTCTGCAGCCAGGGTCCTGGGGCTCCCAGCAGCTGAGTCGTCTGTTCTGTAATCAGCCAGAGACCGAATCTTGCTTGACTTGGAACTTTTTTTCTCTTTTGGCTGTGCCAGGAGCCCTAAGCTGCCAACCTTCGGTCCCCGAGGCACACTAGTGCGCAGGAAGGAGTACTCCTTCGTCATTGCCACGGTGCTGGCCCTTGGTAAGGCTTCTGGGTTTAACATGAGCTCAGGATCAAGTGTGCTAAACAGTCTTGTTTTAGTTGCAGGTTGATTAGACTGAAAAGAAAGAAAAAAAATACAAAAATTATGTTTAAGATAGATAAGAAGCATTCAAAATCACTATCCAGGAAGGCCGCAGTGGCTGGTGAAGTACAGCAGACTGGCCGCACCCACACAGGCCCTGCTGATGCCCCTTCCTCATTGGACATCCCCAAATGCTCTGGGCTTTACGCCCACATTTGTTCTTTTAGAGAAGGCTAAAACTTCTCTTCAAGTTAAGGAAAGCACCCCATTAACTTGCAGCAGCCTCAGGTGTGCCTTGTGGGGGGACAAGGCCCCCCCACTTATCTGAGTGTCTCTGTGCAGGAAGTCAGGCAGTCTGTCTCCCTAGAGTCCAAACAACCTGTACTGACATTTTCACTCTTAGTTGTTTTATCACTTTCTTGTTTTAAACATTATCATTTCCCTCTATTTTATAACTAATAGGATAACTGCAAATTTTTATATTTACATTTTTAAACTGACAATTTATAAAATCCTTATAAATTCAGTTTTCTTCAGTTGATTCTCTAATTTCCCAAGGTATCACCAATATCTGCAAATGACAGCAACATCTCTCCTTTCCAATATTCCTGCCCTTCACTTCTCCCTGGATTGTTAACTGGACAGCCAAGGATCTCCAGAAAGATCGCAGGCAAAGGGGATGCCCCTGGTGGCCATCCCCACTGACCTCCTCCTGCAGAGAGACAAGCGCTTTTGTGTAATTGTGCAACCTCAAAGGGACATGAGCACAAGCAGAGGAGGATGCTAGAAAGCAACTGAGGGCACAGTAATGAAGTATAACGGAGGGTTGGGCAGAGGGCAGCAGACAATCCCCCAGGGGCTCCACCTGCGAAGACATCACAGGAGGACTCACGGTTGGCATAGCCCAGGGTCCAGACCCGGGCAGGAGGTAGCTGTGTCCATACAGTGCTGACCCTTGGAGAAGGGTGACTCAGACCCCGACCACCACCAGTAGCCACCCTCCTTGGGGAGACTCAGCGCCACCACGACCCAGAGACCACAGAAGGAATCCATCTAGATGGGATTCTTTTACTTCTTATATAAAAAGAAACAGTGGGTGAACATTTTTATATTATTCAAATGGGGAAAAATCTTTATAAATAACATCAAACCCCCAAAGAAATAAAAGTGAGGATAGAAAATTTTGTTAACAGCTGTGTGGCAAAAATCACGACAGAAAAGGAAAAGACACGGTGAACTGGGACAAATCATCTTCTAGGTTGGAAACACAGAGGGCCAATTCCCTAGCAAAATCCCGGCAGCCCCAACCTGCACAGGAAGGGTGAAGGCCCAACCAGACACATTACCCACAGAGAAAGAGTTCAGTCCCACTGTTCTGGTGGTTAGCATGGGGTAGGGGGGCAGGGGAGAATTGTGTGCCAACCGCTGGGCCACTGGAGATGGTCAACACCCCATGTAGACCACCCACCTGACCATCTGACAGGTTGGGCTTACCCACAAAACACACTGATTTAAAAAAATGGCTTAAAAGGGCCAATAGCCACAAAGGCTGGGCATCCTGGGAGTGTGGGCTGAATGCAGGAGGGCGGCTCCCTGTGAATGGCACTCAGCTTGTGAAGGCAGCTTCCTGAACAGGTTGCTGTCTACTCTTGAGTAGCCCCAAGTGCACCACGCCTGCATCTCCACAACCTTGCACCAGTCTTCAGGACCTCAGCATGAGGGCAGGGCCATGTGCGTTATGTGAGCAGTCTTGTCCGGGCACGCCCAACATGGCTTGGCCAGAGTGGGTCCCACAGAGGATGCAGGACATCCTTCCAGTCTTGCTGCCAGCCTCACAACTGCTGTACTTTTTTTTTTTTTTAAGATTTATTTATTTATGCATACATAAATGGGTTACAGAACAGAGGTGCAAGTGGGTAAGAAGATTCACCAGATAGAGTGGGGAGCAGAACAGACAGATTGACAAGACATACTGCTGAGGGGAGCAGAGGGCAGGTCAGGAGAGGCCCGCCACACCATGTGGGTCACCTCCCTGGCCAGGGATTGAACTTGTGCTGAAGTGGCTGAGACTAGCTTCACAGTGCTGCGATTTAACCTGATGCGCCACCAGGGAAGGCGCACAACAGCTCAACAGCTGTACTTTTTTTTTTTTTTTTTTAAATCTCCCTTCTTTATTAGAAAAGTAGTAGCATAATTTTCAGCTTTTCTACACTTGAAGTAATCATATATATACATACACACATATAAACACATATATATTTTTCCAATTAGAAAAAGTGTATATATTTTAGGCCTGTTACCTAAGTCTCTCTCCTTCTCTCCTCCAATACAACAGCTATACTTCTAAGGTGTGCTAATGACCATGTCGCCCTGAGCTCCTGATGCAAGGGCTGCCAGGTCTGGGGGATAGAGTACGATAGGCTGGCCTAGGTGCTGCCACCTTGACTCAGTGTCTACACCAAGGCGTCGCATGCGTTCCCAGCCCCAACTTACTCTTCCTCCTCCAAACCCCATCATCCCCATGTGCATTGCAGACATCCGTAGGGCTAGGCACGGTGCTTGGCACATGGCGTCACCTGGGGCCATCTGGGAAGACCCTTGAACACCCTGCGTTCAGGCAGGAGTGGCCAGCCCAGAGCCGGTGTGACACTGGCTCCAGAGCAGTGATGCTTGTGAAGCCATAGAGTTCCAAGGTCCAACTGTGTGAGGCCTTGACGCACTAAACTGCACCATGAGTGTGGCACTGAGTTATATTTTAAGTTCCTTCAGTTTGCAATTTTTCTGTTCATAGAGAAGCTGGACGGAGCAAGACATGCATCCTCCCACTTGCCCAGAGTCAAGAGTTAGAGCCGCAGCTGCTGCCATAAGCACAGGGAGGGGCCTCTCACAGCTGACTCCACAGACCGCACATGGCAGCAGTGGAAGCCCCATGTCCTGCTGTCTCAGCTTTCCGAATGGAGAGTGAAGACCAAGATACAAATGCCCAGAGGCAGAATCAATGGTTCTGACCTCCTGAAGTGTGGGAGGAGCTGCATGTGACAGTATCCCCAAGAAACAGTCATCTGGGCGGCATCATCACACCTGGTGACAGCCCCAGTGGTCCTAGAGAAAGACTTACCCTCTCCTGCTGTCGCTTCACCCGGTATTGCTTCAACTGCTCCTCTAGCCGCTTGCGCGCCTGCAGGCGGACCTGTTCTTCCTTCTCCAGGGGAGGAGATGTGTCTGTGGAGCCTGAGGGGAAAAGGCCTTTTAGAGGTCGGGACACAATGCGGGGCACAGCAGAGCAAGGCATTTTTCTGAGGGAGCTGGAAGAGCCTCTTGGGGAATGGGAGCCATGCAGGCCCCAACAGCATGTCCCTGTGGGTCCCCACACCGACAAAAGTAGGCGTGAAGGTGATGCCAGTGCCTGCTGGCACAGCCCCAATCCTGCTGGCATCATGGAAGAAGGCCCGACAGAACCACTGGGACGAGGAGCCACAGTTCATGGGCACAGGCCAATACCAGCTCCTCTGGTCTCTGCCACGTCAGGTTGTGTAAAGTTAGCAACTCATACCCAGTTTGTCCTGGAACAACACTCTCACAGGACTCTGCAAAGTGACTGCTATGCAGACATGCCCATGAGGCTGCTGCCTGCTTGAGACCAGTGGGGAGACCCATGGCCAGCAACAGACTCATGATGTCCAGGACCAAGAGCCCCCAGGGCTGGGGGTGGCATGCAGGACAGGATGGCCAGACAGCTGGCACATGTGGACATAGGGGATGTCCTGATCCAACCACCCTCAGTGTGTACTCTGAGCAGCAAGCAGCTGTTACTTTAAAACATGCCAAAGCCTTGAGGGGAACCAGGAGTGTCACAAAAACCCCACCAATGTCATCACTAAAGCTGAGGCCTCCCAATATGGAGTGAGCCAGGGGCAAATATCAGGCCCATGACCTCAGGCAAGGAAGGGGGGAGAGGGGAAGGGTGTAGAGAGGTGGACCTGTGTGGCTATAGATGCCTGGGGCCAGGGCTCACGCCGCCCTTAGGCCTGAATCCTAACTATCTCTGGTGTCCCCACTGAAATGGTAACAGGTAATTTTCAGAAATTTAAAAAATATAGTGGCTCTAACAAACTAACATCTATGGGGAAAAAAGGTAAAAAGCCAAACATATGAAAGGACAATTCATGGAAAACAAAGGCTAATAAGCAGGAAAGATGCCCAAATCCTCCAGCAGCCAGGGCTGTGCATGTCAGGAGGGAAGTGACCAAAGTTCAGGCATGTCCATGGCATATCTCCGTGGGCCATACACGATGCAGAGACCACCGCTGCCCCAGCCATGGGGAGCCCACAGAACAGGGTCCTGCTCAGGTAGCCCACTCACTGGATGGCTCTCAAGTGGTGGATGTGACCCTGTGCCAGACCCATGGGCTGGTATGAGTGAGAGGATGGGCCCAGGGCAGAAAGAGAGTAAGCTGGCATCTGACAGTGGCCAGTGCTGCACAGCCTGTGAGGGTGCTGAGACAGTGTGGGCTTGTGGGTGCCATAGGTGGTCACGTCCATGTCAGAAAAGGACCGGGGTCTCCACAGCCCATAGGTTGCCAACCTGTAACCTGCTCACGTCTGGGATCAGTACAACATAACTGTTGATTCAAATAACCATAAATGAAAGGTCCCCACCCCCCAGGTCACACCCCCCCAGGAGACAAAGGCCCCTGAAGCCTGGGCCCTTGAACCGACATCAAAATTGGACTAGCAGGCAGTCGCAACACCCCAGTGCACATACTCTCTGAGAGGGGGCTGTGGGCTCAAGGCACAGCCCCCCACAGTGACCGAGGGCGGGGGTCTTCCCAAGGGGTAAGGTGGCACAGGGCAGGGCTGATGCTTACACAGTTGCGTTTCTTGCATGGGAAGACTGAGTCTGAGAGACTGCAAAGCTTCTTTTCTAACACTGCCCTCAGCACTAGTCCCCCAGGACTTCCTTAGGTTGTCATGGAAACCAGCCACACCTGGAGAGGCATCGGGAACCAGTGGACTGGTGGTGGGCCGGGGTGACAGTGGCACAGGCCCGTTGGCACAGGCACTCTCCTGGCCAGGCACATCCGGGCCTTCTTCCTCTGCAACAGCTCCATCTGCCTCAACACCGGCACCTGAAAGAGAAAGCTGCTGGGCCATCACAGCTTGACTGGACAGGCTACGTCTCCAACCATGGTCGAAGCACTGAACGACAAGACTCTATAGACTTATAAGTGTGCGCAGCTGCATGAGCCATAGCAGTGCCCTCTCCTCCACACCATGGCTGGGCAGCTAAGTGGCCAAGTGTCCTCCCTACTTCAGCCAGACCAATGCTCGACAATCACTCAGGACAGCTGTCCGTCTGCAGCAGAGACTGCAACCAGTGATGTGCGCATTGAGCCCCAGCCTCAGGCCAATGATAGCCTGCCTGAAACCTTAAAAACAAGCAGCCCAAAGCAGTGAGATAAGCAGAGGGGAGGATGGCCATAAAGCATAAACAGATCCAAACATAGCTGCAGGTTATGGGGCCGCATGGATCAGGTGTCTCCACCAACACCTTTACACTCTCTGTCCTTACTTTCAGGAGAGAGGAGAGATGTCTTACAACTAAGATTTTTGTCTTCGTAGTTCCTCCCTGGACCAGCACTTGGCAGTTCAAGCGCCAGGCCGGTAGAAAGGCCTAGAGGCCCTACTGCCCACGGCACCCCAGTGGGTCATTATCAGACCTCCCTGGAACTGATGTGCCCAGTCTGCACCCAGATACTAAGATGTGCTCAGTCTGCACCCAGAAAACCCTTTTTGCCCAACCACATTTACAGTGGGTTTCTGGGCACTCTTCCACCTGGGACTCCAGGCTCCTCTTTTCTCCTTTTCCTAATAAATGTGTCTTCCTTCTAAAATTGGAAATAGGAAATAATAAAATGAGGTTCTGTCACTTGCAGGCCAGTGGGCGTGCCTCTCTGAATAAGAAGGCCAGTGGGATGAAGGTAGCTCCATGCCAGGGTCCTGTACTCATTGACCAACTACCTAAGTTAACAGCACCCACTGCTGGGCTTATGGGGCTTGGAGTGTCTCTGAGCCTTCCTATTTTCATTACAAAGGAATTTTTTGGAGCATAACAGGGCACCTAAATTATCTAATGAAAGAAAGAAGACCCAGTAAACAAGGTTGCAGCCCGGTTGTAGGCAGCCTGGTTGCAGGCAAGCACCGTACATTCGCTACCTCTTCAGCACACAGGACCTGGGAAGCAGAGATCATGAATCATCTACTGGACAACAGAGCTCAAGGTTGGCCAAAATCAGGGTCTCTACAAGGGCTCTGGCTGTCAGCTGGGCCCTTGGAGCTGGCTCCCTGTCTGTCCACCACAGCATTCTTGGCCTTGGGCCCATGTTGGCCTTGCCTAGATTTAGGGAGTATTTATCAGCAAAGCATTTTAGGTATCAGGCACTATCTTCATGAGCAGCGGGAGCAGCTCCTGCTAGGGCACTCACATGCACCCTTGCAAGCGGGCACTGCCCTGCTGAGCAGGCTTCCTCAGACAGGGGAGACTTCACCTTGAGGTCTTCTGTACCCACAGAATAGCTGATGCCCATGGGGCCCAGTGATCTGCACGGCAATGCTGACCGTGGCTGGGTCCCATCAGACTGATGCCTCAATCAACTTAAAGTACAGAACTTGGGGCTCCTCTCTGTTCTGCACACTTGGGATATAGCTCACTGTTGGCTCCAACCAAGAGAAGCCTGCTGATTACTCAAGTGCATTTTAAATGAAGGAAAAAGCTCCACAGCCTTCAACAAGTCTTCACCCCACCCCACAGCTCAGGCTGAAGAATATCCTGCTCACAGGCTGATTCCTGCAGCAGCATCACAGATGACTTACACTGAGCTCCATCCCTGGAGTCGGTAGGCACCAAGGAGTCCAGAGGCTCCTCAGAGTGAGGTGAGGGGCCCCCACTGGCTCCATCCTCTGAGAGGCCACCCTGCACGGCTGAGGTGCTGTCCATGGTGAGGACCACACAGGTGGGGCTGGCACGCAGGGGCTGTGGCTGGGTTGCCAGGGAGTCTGGTTTCGCCATCAGCAACAGCCAAGGGCTCCCAGGAAGAGCCCGACTCGGCTTTCCATTTTCCAGCAAAGATTTAGTCTCATAAATGGTTTGAAATCAAGCCAGGCAGTATCATGACACCTGATAGGAGGGATAAGAGAAAGAAGAGTTGTGGGACTTTGTCAGACTTTGAAGTAACGATTCCAGGATTAATACTTGGTGCCTAATTTATCATCCGTATGATAAACAAATACAGCCTATTTCCTTCAGCAAACAGCCCTTGGACACCTAGGTTCTGCGTATAAAGTGCTGACCCAGGCACAAAATGCTGGGCCCATCCCTGAAGGTGCTGGCTTAGGGCCACCCTGCTAGGACAGAGATGCACTGGTTAGCATGGAGCTGAGCGCAGGGCTTGGCATGTGGCCAGAGGCTTGCATTGGTCAAACAGGCCTCAGGGCTCACAGGGCAAGCTCTGTCCTAGGGGACTGTGTGGTCCCCAGGCCACAGCTCAGATCTTGAGGGACACAAAGACGCAGCTGTAGCCAGCACAGTCATCATGTCCTGCATGAGGATGGGAGGGCGGGGAAGAGTGGACAAACGGGCAGGGAGCCCCCTGGGATGAGGAGCCCCCACCTTTCCTCTGTAGCAGAAGCAGCTACCTGATAGCCAGTCCTACTAAATGGAGTTAAATGGAGTGAAATCTTGCACAAAGTCTGGCCAGGGTCACAGCTTCAGATGCGCCCTTGGGATAGTGCCTCATCAGGCAGGGTGCATGTGTCACTCACCCCTGCAGAGACTTCAGCACCTACTACCCTGAGGGTAAACTTGACATCAGCCTGTTTCACCTGTCAGGACCAAAATGTACACAACTTTCCAGTTTACAAACTGCATATAGAAGTTTCAGATGAGATCCGGGCCTCACAGTAGTGAGAACTACTGTGGGAGGTATGACCTGGTCTTCCACCAAGAGCTTTTGCTGTGGACCAAGAGGGTTCAAGAGGGTTTGCTTGCAGCTTGAACAGCCACACAGTCCTCTGCCATCTGGTACTCCCAAGGCACAGACACCAGGGGCTAGTTACAGCGCTGTCAAGGACATCAGAGGCTGTGTCTACTGTTAAGCGTAAAGTTGACACTAATAGTTTGTACCAGAAAGGACTTGCTAGGTGTGTGAAAATGTGGCGACCAGACCGGATGCTGCCAAATAAGCAGCATGGATGCCAGGCTCGCTTCTGGCACCTGAGGGCCAAGACAACACCCACAGCAAAGTGGAAGGAGTTATAAGGGTGGGCCAAAGTGACCCCACATGGAATCAATGCTCACTGCGTTGCTGTCTCTACAATCACCATGACCTCTGAGGCCAGAGAGACAAACAGGCCCCTGGAAGCTTCTTCCTTTCCCTGTATATCCACACACCCTTCTGAAAATTACCACAGAGTCCTCGCTCCACAGGAGAAAGAGGCTGGGAGAGAGGCTCTCCCAGGAAGCCTCTCAGCTACCACCCATACTCTCCCTAGGATGAAGGTGGCAAGCTGGGTGGATCAGGATGAGTCCTATAGAGAAGGCCCCCAGGCAGGCCTGGCATAAGAGCAGAGTTGAACCTGGGCTTGGGATGACACCCCTTTTCCTTTGGCTGCCAAGCTCATGCCCCACGGCCAGCACCAGGCTCATGTAAAGTCCCTTCTGCTATCATCATATCTCCCCCATTCAGACCACACTGTAAAATATTTGGAAGCAGAAACCTTTCCAAGTCAGCCCTTCCCCTGGACCTCCACCCAGAAGGGTTCAATACCAGCTGCAGACCTTAGCAAGCAAATCAGTAGTCCTGGGAGAAAATGACATGACATAAGAACCTTGAACACAAACACTGCCTCTTCAGATACAGAAAATTCAAAACTATTCCCACTCTATATGTCCCAACAACAAAAGTCTCCACAGCTGTGTGGGTGCAGGAGATACAGCCAAAGTCCAGACAAGCAAATTTAGGCCTAGCTAGTCCCTACTGAAGGGCAGCCAGAGGCAGCAGCACAGAGGGTGGGGACTGTCACATAGTTGTAGAGGGGACTGTGCTGTCAGGCACGTGCTGACAAGGCCTCACCCGATGCTGTCCAGAAAAGTGGGACATTCATGAGTGCGCGGGCTCCTTGGTGCAATGTGCCCAGATGGAGACAATGCCCAGCCTGAGCCCGCTCCCTGTTAATTCCCAAGTCACCCTCCCTGTCCAGTGCCCAGGACCAAGGACTGCTCAACCTAACCCACAAAATCGGTTCCTTGTCAAAGGCAGCTCCTCCTGCAGCCACCTGACAGTTCACTGACAGTTCACTGACTCCCAGGAAGCCTGTGGTGAAGTGGCACATCTCCCTGTGGCAAAGAGCTACGTCCTGGCTGCCCTGGGACCTGGGCCCTGGTCCTTAGCTAGTGTTCAGGGCCTCAATCCCTCTGACTGGCAGGGTGACATCAAAGGGAAGCTGCCATCAGTCACACACTCCAGTCAGTGATCATTTCACTGTACTAGAAACACAGCTATTCAGCATCTGACTATCTGCATTCTGCTGTATTTCTGGGGGAGATCCATCCCCGGGAGCCTCCCCTCAATGGCAGATTCCAGGAACCTGGCACAGACGTGTTCACAGCCCAACTTAATTTGCACCTTCTGAAAATCAGAACCCGTGTGTGGCCAAAGATGACGCATGATTTCCTTATGCCTCTGGCTAAGCTACACTAGTAACCACAGGGCCACAAGGCAATGACCAGGCCCTCAGCAGGGCTGTGTAAAGGGCTGGTTGTTGGCTCCAGTCCAGCTCCACCCTGTGCTGGGAATTCCTGGGCAGGTTCTTAACCACATCAACTTTGTCATCAGCTAAGTGAAGGAGAAAAATAATACGGAGTTTCTGTCAGAATTAAATGCAGTAAGGCACCGGGTCTGTCCCCTGCCCTCAATTAATGACAGCAGTGGCTATTAGTGCACTGGCAAATGACAGCAGTGGCTATTAGTGCACTGGCAAATAAAAGCCAACCTAAGATATTCTCACTTAAGAAAGGGGCACTACTGTTTTAAGGAACTATATGGGGCAAAAGCTGCTTCTTTTTCAATCTGAGTTTTGTAAGGCGACTTTATTTCCTCCTCTTGCTGTTCCAGGTTCGACGCAACCGAATCCGAGCGCCACGCAGACGTTCGCTCAAGGCACGGGTCTCCAGGCGGCGGTCACTACCTCCCAGCGGCTTCCAAACGCGCTGACAACGCCCACGCCTCTCCTAGGGCTGCAAGCGGCGGCCGCTCCAGGGGCCTCCGCGTACCTCACGCTGCCCCTTCCCGGCACCAGCACCGCGGTTCATCAGGCCGCCCAACACCTCCCTGTCGTCCCGCGCCGGCGGCCGCCCCGCCCCCAATGCCGCCCCGGGTTTCAGCCGCAGCCGTTAGGGTGCTCCCCGGCGGCAGAAAGGCGCGCCGCGCCGCCGCCCGCCCGCCAGGACGCCGAAGGCCACAGGAAGTGCCCGCTGACTGCGGCCCCGGTCCTTCCCACCCGCCACCGGCACCTGTCAGGGCTACTGCAAACGGACGGCGGCCGGGTCCCCTAGGCTGTTCCACTGATCCAACAGCAGCCGGAATGCGGACCAGTGGCCCGGGCCGAGGGACCCTGAGAGAGGACACGCCGGGCGTCGGCCGTGCAGCCCGCCCACCCGCCAGTCAGCGTTCACCGGCTGCAGCCCGGCGGCCGCTGCTCGGGAGACGTGGCCGCGCGAGGGGCGGGGCGCGGTGCGCCGCGGGCTCAGCCCCCCGAAAACTGCCGGGGAGCTGCCTCCGTTCCGGGGGAGAAAAAGTATTCTGTTCTCGCCAGCGCCCGCCCTCGGAACGAAGTCGCCCTGAAGCAGGTTAAAGATCGTGCCCACTCGCAATTAGCCCCGCGTGTACTTCAAAAAGTGCGTGTGGGGCTCGTTTCTAAGAAGAGCGACTTCCGGACTCACGGGCCTAGCCGGACCCACTCCGAAAGGACGCCAAAGAATTCAGCTTCCGGCGGAAATAGCGTGGCAGGGTCCCCGGAGCGTTCCGCCCACTCGGCCAGTCGATGGGCGTGGCCTCCTGTCCCAACAGCTCCCTGGGGGCGTGGCCAGTGTAGAACGGGCAGAGTCCGCGTTAGGCGAGGTCGGAGCGCGGCGCCTCTCGTCCCCTCCCAGGTCCCGGTGCGGAAGCACCTGTCCCCTGAGTCCGGATCGGTGTTGGCCCTTAAAATAGAAAACATTGTTGGCTTAAGGCTGTTGGCTGGGCTTTCTTTGCCTGATCAGAAGAGTCTGTGAAAGCGTCCTCCCCTGCACTGGTCCGTCCCAGTCGGCTCCAGCTGGTGGGCCCCGTCTCTGGGCCCCCAG